CGCTGCCCTGGGCGGGGAAACCGCATGCAAACACCTCCACTGGGGCCATCGGCGGAGCTCCGTATGGGGCCACGAAACGCTGCCGTGTGGGGGAACCGCATGCGACCCTCTTCCCCACTGGGGCCATCGGCGGAGCTCCCTATGGGGACACGAAACGCTGCCCTGGGTGGGGGAACCGCATGCGACCACCCCCACTGGGGCCTTCGGTGGAGCTCCCTATGGGGCCACGAAACGCTGCCCTGGGTGGGGGAACCGCATGCGAACACCCCCACTGGGGCCTTCGGTGGAGCTCCCTATGGGGCTACGAAACGCTGCCCAGGGTGGGGGAACCGCATGCGAACACCCCCACTGGGGCCTTCGGTGGAGCTCCCTATGGGGCCACGAAACGTTGCCCTGGGTGGGGGAACCGCATGCGAACACCCCCACTGGGGCCTTCGGTGGAGCTCCCTATGGGGCTACGAAACGCTGCCCTGGGTGGGGGAACCGCATGCAAACACTCCCACTGGGGCCTTCGGTGGAGCTCCCTATGGGGCTACGAAGCGCTGCCCTGGGTGGGGGAACCGCATGCGAACACCCCCACTGGGGCCTTCGGTGGAGCTCCCTATGGGGCCACGAAACGCTGCCCTGGGTGGGGGAACCGCATGCGAACACCCCCACTGGGGCCTTCGGTGGAGCTCCCTATGGGGCCACGAAACGCTGCCCTGGGTGGGGGAACCGCATGCGAACACCCCCACTGGGGCCTTCGGTGGAGCTCCCTATGGGGCTACGAAACGCTGCCCTGGGTGGGGGAACCGCATGCGAACACCCCCACTGGGGCCTTCGGTGGAGCTCCCTATGGGGCCACGAAACGCTGCCCTGGGTGGGGGAACCGCATGCGAACACCCCCACTGGGGCCTTCGGTGGAGCTCCCTATGGGGCCACGAAACGCTGCCCTGGGTGGGGGAACCGCATGCGAACACCCCCACTGGGGCCTTCGGTGGAGCTCCCTATGGGGCCACGAAACGCTGCCCTGGGTGGGGGAACCGCATGCGAACACCCCCACTGGGGCCTTCGGTGGAGCTCCCTATGGGGCTACGAAACGCTGCCCTGGGTGGGGGAACCGCATGCGAACACCCCCACTGGGGCCTTCGGTGGAGCTCCCTATGGGGCCACGAAACGCTGCCCTGGGTGGGGGAACCGCATGCGAACACCCCCACTGGGGCCTTCGGTGGAGCTCCCTATGGGGCCACGAAACGCTGCCCTGGGTGGGGAACCGCATGCGAACACCCCCATTGGGGCCTTCGGTGGAGCTCCCTATGGGCTACGCGCATGCGCCCCAAGCACCCTATGGTGCCACGAAACGCTGGGGGGGAACCGCATGCGAACACCCTGGGGCCACGGGGGGAGCTCCCTATGGGGCTACGAAGCGCTGCCCTGGGTGGGGGAACCGCATGCGAACACCCCCACTGGGGCCTTCGGTGGAGCTCCCTATGGGGCCACGAAACGCTGCCCTGGGTGGGGGAACCGCATGCCAACACTTCCAGTGGGGCCTTCGGTGGAGCTCCCCATGGGGCCACGAAACGCTACCCTGGGTGGGGGAACCGCATGCGAACACCCCCACTGGGGCTTTCGGCGGAGCTCCCTATGGGGCTACGAAACGCGTGAGAGGTGTGCCGAGAGCAGAGGCAAGGAGGGGGAGGAGGGAGGAGAGGAGGAAGGAGAGGAACGCGGGGCACCGTCTCTTCAAAACGAGGACCCAACACCACAGGATGGTTAGGAAAAACACACACACAAAAACACAGAGTGTTTTTGTTTGTGTGTGTGTGTGTTTGTGTGTTTGTTGTGTGTGTGTGTGTGTTTTGTGTGTGTGTGTGTGTTTGTGTTTTTTTTGTGTGTGTGTGTTTTGTGTTTTGTGTTTTGTGTTTTGTGTGTGTGTGTGTTGTGTGTTTATTGTATGTGTTGTGTGTGCTTTAGTGTGTGTGTGTGTGTGTGTTTTGTGTGTTTTTTTCCCCGAGGACGCTCCACTCAGTGCCTACGGCACGATGGCGGATATACAGGCGAGGAGCTGCTGCCTTTCCGGCTCGCGCGGGCGTCCCCCGCACCGGCACCGCCGCCGCTGCGGCCAATCGTTTCTTAGGCGCGCTCCCCGCGCGCCGCGGTGCAGCTCACTCTGTACATCGTGGATTCGGCTCTCGCAGGCGATTTCTCTCCCCCAATCCCCGACTTCCGCCAGAAAAGTTTGGTCGCTCAGAAAAGGGGAGGAATCTTGGGATACATCCCGAGGGGGCTATTCGGACGCACCCCTGTCGAGGATGGACGCCCCCCCCTCGTATATCCCAGGGTTGGGCCCCAAATTGTTGATCCTCTCGAATGCCTCACGGAGCCTGGGATAGGGGTCGACGCATCCCCTGTTAGGCTCGTCGACCGCGCATGGTCCAACAGGTTCTGCGTGACATCTTTCCCGGAGGGGCAGGGCAGACGAAGGGGGGGAAGAGAAAGAGGGGTATGGGGAGGAGGGGCCGACAGCGAGGGAGGCGCCCAGCATGTCTCGAAACAGGCGAGCTCACCCGCAGAAACTTCAACTGCCACACACGTCCACCGTAAGGCTGCACCGCATCCTGGAGCGTGATTGTCGCTATTCGCCGCGCTGCCAACGTCTACCAGCGGCAACGAACTCCCGCGTCCTAGCGGTATCGGAACCCATATTCATTGAGATGTTCAGCTTGGCGCAGGCAGGCAGGTAATCAGAGTGAGGCTTGTACCAAGACCCATGGTCCCATGTGGGAAACTCGCCTCTGTTCCAGAAGATGTTCTATAGCACGGAGTCGACCTTCTACGTGCGGCAGCCTGCCGAATCATAGCACCGCAGGGCGGCGGTGGTGGTTGTGGTGCAGTGCCGACCTCAGACCACCCGAGGTGGCTTGGCTCCGCTCTGCCTCAGAATTTTCAGCAGGGACCACGTCCACACCGTAGCCGCAAACGAACGGCGTCGGACACAGCCCCTCCCCAAGCGCCCCCCCCCCCCCTGATGTCCTCGTCCGCACAGGGCCTTTCGTTGCCTGTGCCGCCCCCCCCCTTCCATGCCACAGGGCTCCTCTCTCTCTGTGATCTCGTGCGGAGGGAGAAAAACCAGAACGGAGCAAAAACGCCGCGCGGCCTCGCCGGCAGCACCTTCGGTGGCTCAGAGGTGGGGTCCTGAGGGTGGGGTCCTCGGGACAGGGAGGGACCTGGACCCACATTCCTAGATGCACCTCGTCCTCGGGACCCCATCCCCTCAGGATCGGAGGGAGGAGAAGCGACACTAACACCACCAGGGGGCCCACCTCCAGCGAGGAGGTCCACGATGCCTCCCCGAGCTGGATGCTGGGGATGTCTCGAGCGAGAGGGGGGGACCACACCACCAGGGAGACTCCCCTTGCCTCCTCGCACCTCCTCGCCCTGCTGGTGTTGGTGTCGCCTTTCCTTGTTCCCCTCAGGACCCCATCTCTGAACCACCGACTGGTGCGCGAGCCTGGAGCGCCGAGCGGGCCTCCTCCGCCGAGAGAGGGCCCCTCCGCAGAGGGGGGGCGCGCGGTGAAAAGGGGCGCGGCCGGCCGAGGCCCGCAGGGCAAGGCCTGGCAAGGCCTGGCAAGGCCCACCCTTGACCCAGGATCGGTGCATATATGCCTTCCTGGCCAAGGCAGGAGGGCGTGTGCACCGATCCTGGGCTCAGGATGGGCCTGGCCAGGATCGGTGCATGTGCACAGTTTTTGTTTCCTCTAGCCAGGGGAGAGAGCGTGGCGCTCCCGCGCCAAGGGTCGGTGTACGTCCTGGGGTCTCCAAGTCGGGCTTCTGATGGCTCGGCGGCCTTCCCAGGAGGAGGAGGAGGCGGAGGAGGCGGAGGAGGAGGAGGAGGAGGAGGAGGAGGAGGGCCAGTCGTGACAACGGCGGCTTTCCCAGGCGTTGTGCTTCCCCCTGTTTGGGCCTCCCCGAGGCTCTGCGCCACCACCGCCGGACCCGCCTCTAGAAACAAGTCGGGATGGACACCCGGGGGGGGGGGTCTGGGTCCAGGGTCTGATTGAGCGGGCCCGAGCTGGGCGGGAGAGCCTCAGAGCAGGGAAGGCGCCGTAAACATCAATGTTTGGCGCGCCGCGCGGATTTCTTGGATCCGCGCTGGGGCGCGGCGCCCCTGGCGCTCTCCGCGCGCCAGGGAGGGGGGGGTCCAGTCAAGCGCAGATCAAGGAAATTCGTGCGGAGCGCTAAAAGTTTCTGCCTATGGCGTTTCTCCTTCTTCCAGGGCCGCCGTTCTTTCGGGTGGCCCTCCGCCGAGTGTCTCCGCAGGGGTGTTCCCAAGCGGGTCCCTGGACCGAGGTGTCCCTGGACTTTCGCGCAATGTCGGAGCCTCCTGAGACCTCCTCTGTCTGGTCATCATGGGAGGTGGTCTGGAGGCCATCTGGGCCTCCCGGGAAGCGAGGAAGCCGCTTCTGGCCAGGGGCACCTTCTGGCGGCCCGCGATCGGTGCTGCCCCTTGCTCTGGCCGTGATGGGTCAAGGTGATGCCAGTCCTGTCGCTGATGCCTCTGCCTCTCCGGGCTGGCTCTGCGCGCGTGCCATGTCGCATCCCTTGACCGCTTCCCCGGGTGAAGCCCCTGGGCTGGCCTGTGCTGCCCTTCTCCTCAGGTGCAAGAATGGTCATCAAGTGGTGAAGTGCAAGACGCTGAAGCCATGGCAGGGGTGGATGAACCAGAGGAGCTGCAGCCAGTGTCATGGCGCCATCGACAGGCACGATATGCGGTGGCGATGCGAAGAGCACTGCGATTGGGACATCTGTCACGCGTGCTACGACGACCACTGGAACCGCGTGGTCCACGAGGCCACCGCGCGCCTGATGAAGGTTCCACCCGAGCGGGACGTGGCGCTCACGCTGCTCTCATGGGTTCCCAGAGGCGCAACCAAACAGCTCAAGTGAGATTGGTCTGCTCAGAGCGATCCCTGCCAAGCAAGGGGCTTCAGTATATCAGCAGTCTGTTCTAACTTTCTGTCCTTGATGTCCGCTCTTCGTATATGCGGTGGGTGAGTGCTACTGATGTGTGGTCATGGTGCCTATTCTGGAATGTTTGTCTACATGTATGTTCGTTGTGTATGCGGCTGATGAGTGCCATTGATGTACGGTCTTGGTGTCTGTTCTTGGCGTTTACTCTGTGCCACTGGTCCTGGCGTGTGATATGTTATGATTTTCCATGCGCCGCTAACACTTCCCCTAGACATGACGCTTTACTAGCTAGGGAGGTGGTCTCTGGATGGGTTTCTTTCAGTATACCGAGAGGTCCAGGGGCCGTTTGGGGGCCTCTTGGGGCCTCTTTTGGGCCTCTTGGTAGCCTCTTTGGGCCTATTGGGGCCTCCTGGGCGCCTCTTAGGGCTTCCTGGGCGCCTCTTGGGGCGGAAGGCTCGGATTTTCGGTTCGTGCTCCCTCTCTTTTGCCCCTTTTGGGGCCGTCTTGGGGTCCTCTTGGGTCGTCTAGGATCCTCTTGAGCCGTCTTGGGGTTCTCTTAGACCGTCTTGAGGCCCTCTTGGAGGCCTTTTTGGCTTTTTCGGGCTGGTTTTGTTGGCCTCTTGGCCCTTCTTGGAGCGTCGACAAGCCGAACCGGCGAGAACGCCAACACATTTGAAACACCTTGGGAACATCAATGATTATTGCCTTCTGGGGCCCTGTTGGGGCATTCGGGAGGCCTCATGGCCCATCTTGAGGCCATTCTAGACGTCTTGGAACGATCTGTCGGCGACTCCAGGCGTCTCTTGGGCCGTCTTGGAGGCCTCCTGGGGCCTTCTTGGGCCCGGAAACAAGTCATGCAGAAGCCGAGGGGAAGCCCAGGGGGTGCGACAAGCCCTGGGAGATACGGCAATTACGTCTCCAGGACCCGTAAAGACTCCTCACGACTGAGGACTTAGGCTCCAGGGATTAGGCAAAGGCCCTGGGGACACGCCCACTCCGTGCCCAGAGGCACGGTGTCGGATGCGATTGGTGCATGTTTTTGGTGTCAGTTCTGGCGTATATGCGATTGATGTCTGCTGCTTGTGTATGCGCTTGATGCATGGCGTGGATGTTTGTGATTGGTGCAAGTTCTTGGTGTATGTTTCTGATGCCCATTAATTGTGTTTGGTTTTAATGTATATGATCGCTGTATGCCCTCGGTGCAAGCTCTTAAAATATAGTCTCCATCCTTGTTCTAGACGTGTGTGGACGGCGCGACGCCGTGACGCCTCCCAGGTGTGGTTGTCGATTATTCATGCTGTCATTGGGCTCACGTAGATCTCTGGGGCCTAGCAGCGCACGGAGGGCGAGGTGGGATACCCAGAGAGCACCCGGACCATTGGGGCCCGGCGGCCGCGGTATGCAGGGTGGGCGAGGCGGGTCGGGAACTTGTTCTTAAAATCTATCCGCCCCAGCCTGTCGGACGGGGCAAACATTTCCAGGCACCATGTTCAGAACATTCTCTGTTATCTCTCCTGGGCTGTTGCCTGGATGTGGCAGGCCCAGAGATCCGAGGTTGCGAACAACTTGCAGCATCGCGGGGAATCACGACCAGAGCCCCGGACTCCATCTTTCTCCCTTCGCATCCCGCGGGCAGGGCCGGTCCGTGCGGACCCCGGAGCCCAGAACAGGGCACGGCCCCGCGTGGCAGAACGCTTGCGACGCCGGAGCCTCCCAGGAGGAGGACGACACAGTCGGGGCCCTGAAGAAGGAACCCTTTTTTCATTGGGGAGGGGCTCCGCGTTCCCTGATTGTTTCACAGCTTGCCTCAGGTTTTCCTGGTGCTGTCGAGGGGAAATCGAAGCTGAACTTGTGGAAAAAAGGGGCCTCGCTCCTTCTTTGGGGTTCCTTAGGTCAACGCCCCGACTGTACCCCGGGCGCCGCTGCTGCGCGCCCCTGCCACGCCGCAGGTGCCAGCAGAGCGCCAGGCGCGCAAGGACTTCAGGCGCGCGTCGAGGCTGGCGGAGGACGACGGCCCGTCCGGCGAGAGCCTGGTGAGCGCGCGCGCGGAGGCCGAGACGGCGACGACGACGACGGCGGCGACGATGTCGACGACCGCTTCGAGCCCATCGGTCCGAGGCGACGTCGGCTCCGGCCGGCTGCCGATCCGATGCGATCCCGAGATCCCGCCGCTCCCTGGAGAGGCCCGATGCTCGCATTGGGGCTGTGGTGCAGCCCTGCGCGCCGAGGCGGTCCAACTTCGGCTCCATATGCCGATGCTGTCCTATCCGACGCACGTTCTCGTGCGATCCGACGTCCCGATTCGATGCCGACTCACCCGGCGACGGCGACGAGGGCGATGATGGCGGCGGCGGCGGGGTGCGGTGCCTCCGAGGTGGAGCAGGCCAGGTGGCCGGCGCTCCTCGTGCTGGAGGTGTGCGCGTGGATAGCCGTGCGCACCGTG